GTTCCTGTATTCGCTGTTAAAAATTTCATTATTCGCGGTTGAAATCGTTAAACAGAAAAGAATTTGATGTCATTTATATCCGAGGGAGGTGTCTTTATAGAGAAACAGGGATTTAAATGATATTTATAAGTAATGATTTATTTATTTATTAAAGTAAAAAATATGAGAAAGAAAAAAGTTCGGAAATTTTAAAAAATATTGACAGCCTCCCTTTATGCGTTCTTGTCAATATTGATTATTATTTATGCATAAAACTTTCTTAATCTTACTCATCGCGTATCATTAATCTTTAATTTCGAGAAATAAAAAAATAGATACTGTACAACTAAATATACCATTTTTGGATTTGCAAGAGAAATAATTATTGTTGTTAGATCCCTTAAAGTTCAATTCTTATTTCACTTTTTAGATTTATTAGAGTGAACTAAAGATCACCTAACAGAAGAAAAATGTACTTAGTACATTGGTTTTCAGCCAGCTCAAAAAAAAAGTAAACTATGTAGTGATTTAGCCAGCGTTATACATATATAAAGTACACTTATCATTAAATAAGGATATCTATAATAATACCTTAAAGGTGATTATTTATATTAAAACCATACTTAACAAGAATTAATTTCCAACTTAATAACCTTTTCTTAAAATTGCTAATTATATGATTACTGGTCTAAGATATATGTTAACGCGAATATTTTCAGAAGCTTTTTTAAGCTTAAAGTTTTTCTATACAGGCAGAAAACTAAATTTTTATGACTATGCTAAAATTACAATTTTCGATTGTAAATGACTGAATTTGCCGTAGAAATACCAGAATGTATTAGGTAACTTGTAATAATCTCAATTTTGACGTTTTTTTAAAAAGTTTAAAAGTTTTTTAATTAGGACAATTAAATTTGTAATATCAACTAAAATACCTAGTAAATCTGTTTCTATTGGGATTCAATTTTTACAAATTCGGGTCCAAATTGTAATTTTTATTATTATCGCTTATGAAGCAATGGGCTAGTAGGATAAATTGTAAATATCGCTTTAATATTTAGGTATTTTTTTTTCATTTTCTCCATGTAGAAAATATTAGTGAAAGAATTTTTGAAATCGGATGATGGTTCCCAATCCATCGAAACTTATCAATTGTACTTCTTTATACTATTAAGATAGATAAAGGAAATAAGAATGCAGACTACATTATACTGGATGTACACATATGTAATTTTTCCTCTTTACAGAAGCCTTGCCTTGTCCCGTTTTTGCCTTTTGGATACCTTCCAAAACGATAAGAACGGCGACCTGGCCTTCCCCTATTTTCAGATCCACTAGCGGTTTACTTCAACTACAGGTTCTAATCACGAATGGACATTAAAGTTAAATACTGAAAGAGTTAGCGCACGAAAGAAATAAGAAATTCAATAAACCGCAGTAAACCAATTAAGGCTTAACCATAGGGCATTTTTTAAATTTTTATATCCTGTACTTCTGCTTTCCTACAATAGAGCAAATATAATTAAAGTACAATTTATATTATACATTCATTGATATATAAAATGTGTAGGTTTCTTAGACTGAAAAGCGTTAAATGATTGAATAATTCCTTAATGTGAAATTAGTAAAACCGTATTGAGTTGCACATTTTGAACTTTATTTGGGTTATCCGGAATTTAGGCATAGCGGATAAAATATTCGATCCGATTCGATCTTCATCGTGCGTGCATCCGATCGAGTCTACATTATTCAACACGTATCAGATCGCATCGATGGTCATATTCATTTATACGTATCCGATCTTCATCGTTTGCTCAAATGTCGCCCTTCCGACTTTATTGTAATCGGCTTCGTGGAAAACCTGCCTTAGGTTGTAAAGTAATACCATACAGTAAGCATTGTCAGGATGGAGGATTATTAATGATAAAAGAATTTTGAAAATTCGACCAACTATTTCGAACACAACAACAAAAAGGGTCAAAATTAAACTGCTAGTTTTACAGGCCTTATTGCTTTCGTTTGAGTAGTTTTACTTTATGATTCTTAATCTTCAATTTGACAAGCTGTTCAAAGTGAAAAGTGTTATTTATTTAATTTAGTTTATATATTGGCATCTGGTCATTTTACAAGACTAGCAAATGTGTTTGCTCTTCAGATTATTCGTTTTTTCATTTAATTTTCGAAAACTACCAAGAAAACACCATTTATAAAGTATTACGGTAAATTGTGTGTTTTTTTCCAGGGTGGCGGTCAAATAATTACACAAATTTACGTTTTTTGTAACGTTTCAGTTTATTCAACCATCTTTAGACTGTTGAAGTGTTACTGCGTACTTGGAGTAGTTCAACATGAAAGACTGTTTTAAAATTAAATTAATATCAGTAACACTTCAAAAGTCCGAAGATGGTTGAATAAACCAAAAAACAAAAAGTTGTGTAATTATTTGGCCGCCACTCCGGAAAAAAACTATATAATTTAATAATAACGGTCAGGAATCTAACTTAAACTTAAAGTAAGCGATACGTAAATAAGATGTATAGATTCCTATTGATAAGGAGTCACTTTATTTCTCTCACAAATCCCATCTACGATAACAATCGGCACTAATATCTAACTCACTCGTAATGTCATTGGATTATTAGAATAGTCCACAGGCTGGCATCGAAAATTGTACCGTCCCGTTAACCACCCCGACATCCCAATCTGAAAGCAAGCAATTTTTACAGGGCCTCATTCTCAAGCACCGTAGTTCATTTTTGCACCTTTACTCAGTAAAATAAAAAATAAATAAATAATGTACATCCTTGCCATGAATTTAATAATAAATCCACCACATGGTTTGGAATTTGAATAATGGTGTGTATATATACATTATACAGTTATATATACAGTGGTGTAGCGTGTTGTGTAGGGGGGGGGGAAATGGGAGCCATGTGCCCCAGGCGGCAAAAATATTTTCTTCAGTATTAGAATCGGGTCCGTCGCATAGTAATGTTAGATATTTCACTTTATTGGTATTTGTACCAGATATTAATAATTTGTACCAAGACATTACCATCTTGGTTGGCAAAAATACCAAGATTTTTGTGTTGATAATAATTTGAGAAAATCTCCCATAGCACAAAAATGTATCGCCTATGTGTACGTATATTATAAACAAGACACTTTTTATATTCTACTTACATTTAGTACTACATAATATTATGGTAAATTTCGTACAATACATTCGGTATAATCTATTTGAAGAACCGAAATCTCTGTAAATTTTGTGCTGGAGCTACTTGTCTCTTCAAGGGCTAAACTCAAAATGTAAGTTCTTTTTACTCATTTTCACTGCAGTCCCGATTCCCTACTAAATTAAGTAAAAGATCTTACATAATTGTAAAAACAGTAAAGGCAGCAAATTCAGGCTTCGCCTCGGGAAGCAGAAATTCACGCTACGCCACTGTATACATATTTACATATACGATTTTTTTTTAATGTTTCCACAGACAAAATAAAACACATAATTGTAGCTAACATTCCCTCATGTGTTCATGGTACACTTTTTTATTGACTTGTGCAAGAGACACTTTAGTTTTCTATATTAATATAATCTGGCGAATTGAGTACCAAAGAATAATAGTCCAGGATCCCTGGTACATTTTTGCACCTGATTACTATCAAGCTAATTTTCCGTGAGTAGCTTCATTTTGATGAGACGCCCAACAACTTCTTGTAAGAAACTTTGATTGTGGTAGCTAACAGAGGTGATGATTAACTAAGTAAAAAAAAAATCAGCTGGTTAGTATTCATTTATGATGACCTCGTTATCGGTACAAGTTGAAAAGAGGGGACTCTTTGATCAAACCATAGATTTTGTAGGAGAAACATTTTTTCGAATAATTTAGATAATTATCTTGAGATTAAACAAAAAAAACCCGTTTTAAATTTTTGAGAATCATCAAACCGACATATTTTATCCTTACTACCTCTGTTAGCTACCACAATCAAAGTTTCTTGATTTCTTGAGTAATCAAGTGCAAAAATGTACCAGGGATCCTGGACAATAAAGTAATATCATCATAAGGTCATCAGTCCTAAAGTTGGATGGACAGTCACCTCCACTCTTTCCTATCCTGAGCTAATCTTCGCATTTCCCTAAAAATAGAATAGCCCACATCCTAAAAAATTTGTGAACAGTAATCTAATCTTGATCTACCTCAACTCCTTTTGACTCTTGTTTCTGCCTCTAATATGTCTCTGACTAAGACCTTCATGCCTGAAAAGATGTTCGACCAACCTATCTCGCCTATTTCTTATTGACTTCCAATTCTTTCTAACACCTCTACATTTCTAAGCTTCTCTACGCACGGTATACTCATTATTCGCCGATAACACCACATTTCGAACGCTTATAACCTTTTTTTTCCTCACCCGTACAGCGCCGCGCTCCAAACATACACCTTTAACAATTTTCTTCGAATTTCTACGCTAACAGTTCGCGAGCACAGAAGTGACTTCTTTTTATTCAAGGCGACTCGACCTTACGCTATCCTCTGCTTTATATCCCTACTAGTCCTTCCGTCCTTACTTATCTAACTTCCTAGATACCTAAAATCAGTCACTTCTTCTAATCTTCCGTCTCCTATCTTTACATTAGCTTTTTCCCTGCTTTTTCTTACCTAGCATACCAGTATTTTTGTTTTATTTTCATATAATATGGTTTTGTCAATACCGCTTCCATTTTATTTAAAGTTATCTCTGAGAATACTCGATGTTTTTCATTAAACGGATTAATACTTTGAGGTTCGTCTGACGGACGGCTGCTGACCATCAACTTACAAAAAAATTCCGACAAAAAATGTGTAATTTCTATCTTCAGTAAACATTTTGCCTTATCTGTATGTTTCTCTACCTATACCTCTACAGAATACAACTAAACGTAATTGGTATCGAATACCACTCCTAATCGAGTAATATTGACGTAATAAATGTGTATGAACTTAGTTAATTTATTATTAGAATAATATTCAAATGTAAGTAAAATATTGCTTCGACAAGTGCGTTACCGCATATTTATGGACACAGTACATTAAAGTGTTGTAACTTGACATAACCATATTACACGAATACCTAGTTGTTACACTATGACGACATACACAATTATCGAACTAATGGAGAAAGTAACTGTCGTCTTTATTATACTTTTACTATTGTAATTTGTAGATAGTATGCCTACAATGAAAAGCAACGAACAACAGGTGTAATGAGTAGACATTTTACGTGGATTAACATTTAATATTGGGCATTCTAAAAAAATCTTCCGTATTTAATATCTAAAGAAAAGGAAAGAGTGCGTACATAGGATTTGTAGATTTAGAAAAGGCTTTTGACAATGTTAAATGGGGCAAGATGATGATTTAATATCTAAAATTAATTCTTTCAAACGCAGTGCTGTTTACCAGTTTACATAATTATGTTAGCTACAAGTATGTTTGTTGTTTTATTGTCAATAATTGCAGTTTCATGAATTAATGCATGCGACTCCTCTGTTTCCCATGTGATCACTGCAATCAAAATATTTTCCCCTGAAATATGAAAGTTGAAACATTCTCGTATATTCTTCGTGCACTTACTCTCCGCGCTTGTTCGCTATTGGAATGATCAACGGGCTGACATCGAAAACTGTAGTGTCCAAACCAACCGGCCATACCAGACTAACAAAAATTGATTACTGAATAGTAACGCCTATATTTTTAATTATGGATTAAAAAAGTAAGGACGTCTGCTACTATATATGTTAGTGTAAACTGCTTCATAGTGATAGAAATACAAATTATAATCAGTTAAATATAGCTAGGGCAATTTCGGAAGACGAAGTCATCAATAAATTTGTAGAAAAAAAAGGATATCAAATTCTTGCTACTAAAGCTCGAGATGAAACTTTTGCTGAACTTTGGAGGCGTGTAAACAACCAACCCCATAGTAGGAATGCGCAACTGGCACATGACCAAAGCGTTCTTTTCGATGTGTGGCAGATGGAAATGAAGAATCGATAAACTCATGTAGTCCAACCGTATCCTAATTGCAACGAAAACACCTGCAGTGATTTTCGTCTGGAGGCCCAATCGACCTACAGTTTTATCAATATTTTATTTTTCACAAAAAAATATTAGGTCAGGTTAGATTAGGATCGGATTAGATTTCTTAATTTTCAACAACATACCCAAAACTGGAAAACAAGGGTTTGGTCATGTGTCAGTTGCGCATTCCCAGACTTATTTATTGTTACTGACGTTTTCCCGACTCTTCATAAACAATTCCTAACAGCCTTTTTTCTTAATTTTCTGCATTTACCATACGATTGATTTTTCAGAATAATCCAAATAAGTTCATCGATTTTGAAAAGAACTTTTTTAGTATTGTGTCTTATGTGTTACTTGTTTAGTAACAGTAACATTCTACAGTAAATCATTCTTTATCCTAAAGGTGATTATAAATCTGAGCATGAACACGTCCAAGATAAAGCGAGGCGGAACGAATACGTCTACTGTGCTCGAACAAAGTGATCTGCCCCAGGGCTGTTCGAGCTCCATCCGTTTCCAATTGATGATGTAAATAGAATTTGATTTGATACGGACATATGCTTGCCCCGTTTGCGTCGTTTTAATTATAATAGTCTTCATCAGTTATTATCCACTAAATGAATATGAAACTGATTTCGTTTTCAGTTCTCGCCTCGAACATGTTCGTGCTCACAACCAGGTGAATACACACTTTAATGAAGCAGTTTACATTTAGAGAAACGATTTTTCGTCATCTTTATTTTTGGGAAAAATACAACTTTATACCATACAAAAGGACCTTGTAAATCGTTTTAACATAAATCAAGCAATTGTAGGTTATGGTTATCCTTTTTAAAATAGAATAGAATTAGAATACTTACTTCGTAAAACAGCCAAAAACTAAACACTACTTGGAATAAATTATAAGCTATAAGTGCATTTTTTAATTGAAACGGCTTCCTATTTTCCATTAATTTTGGCCCCAAGACCTGAAACAAAAAAAAAAAAAGACTGTTAACTATTGCGATTGTATATGCACCTGAAAAATTAAAACAACATAATCTTAACCTTTAAACAGAAATACCGATAAAGAAAAATTTTTTATAGTGTTGAAATTCAACAAAAGGAATAATAAAATAAGGGTACAATAAAAGTTTCTTATTCACGGTTTCCTTATTCGCGTTTTCATTATTCGCGGGTGAAAAAATTGCAACCCTGTTCCTGTATTCGCTGTTAAAAATTTCATTATTCGCGGTTGAAATCGTTAAACAGAAAAGAATTTGATGTCATTTATTAAGGGAATTGACCATAATAGACCGCTCGTGCCTAGTGTGAATTTTTCCGAAAACATGGGTTCCTATTCTAAACATTGTGATTTAACGTTGCGAGATAAATATCTAATTTTTTGTATGGTAACAGACAAACGTTCACACTAACTCGGTACGTTTTTGGTTTTCAATAATATGGTCATTAAAAGCTTTTACAAGTGCTTAAAGTTGATGCTTCTTGTAAGACACGTATTTTCAGTAGAAATAAAAAAAATAAAAAATGACCTTAGACAAGCTTTAGAACAAATCTTTATCTAACTACAAAATTTCAAACCTCTGTTCGAAATATTAAACTCATGATATCTAGAACCGATAAGCCTGTTACGGTGCGTGTACTACTGAATCCTCTTAATCTATCGGCATATTTTGAGTATGTACAGTTGGTAACATGCCGATGCGGCTTTTATAAAAGATGTAACGGAGTGGACTAATCTCAAAATTTAAAACAAGAAAAAAATCACTAAATTTTTCAAACTCTTGCCTAAAGCTGATTATAACGATTAATTTTAATTGCGAATTTATCAATACATTGATTTTATTTTGATACATATCGGTTTTATTTTGGAACCTTTGAATGTATCCCCTATGATTCCGTACTAATTACCATTCCATATCCACGGTTTCTGTATTCGCGGCATATTTATGGAACGTATACCCCGCGAATAAGGAGCTTTTACTATAAATAAACCAATAAGTATTTCACCCCTATTACTGCGGATACGTGTTCCGCTTTCGTCCAATATAATGTAATCGAACAAAATTAAATAAAAACAATTAGTGTAGCGTCTCGGAAAAATTAGCCTAAGTGCTCAAAATACTGAATTTATGTTATAATAATGAAACCTATTTTTGAAAACATGTTTGATTTTAAGTCTCTGTATATGTTATTTCAATATTTTCACATTCATTTAGTTTCAAAAGGACTGCCAAGTATTATACTAAAATACAGTATCAAAGCAACCGAAATGTGCAAAAAATATCCCAGTAGGCCAAGTACAGTCGGAAAAAATGATTTTGATGGCTTCCATTTATCAATGAACATGACGATGATCAAAATTGACCTTTACCTAGCATGAAAAATTCTGTCATTCACTGGAACATACATACATATGTATACATGTATGTAACTTACGTAACGATTGATAAGTTGCTGTACACCGTAATTAACAGCGCAATTATGGTATTTGAAAACTCCAATACGTTGCATAATATCTATGGCCATGTGCAATTTTCCCAACACATTATTAAATATAATTAATGTCAAGAATAAGTGATAATTAGTAATCTCAATTAAGAGTTGTGATATACGCAAACTTGTAGCTTTTCGCTAAGTTAATAACGTAAGACAGGGTTTAATGGCTTATTAGACGTTTTAATAAAAGATAAAGAATTTCGAGCTTCACTAACTAGCCATCACTATGACTATTAATTATCATCATCATAAGATTGTCAGTCCCAAGACTGGTTGGACATACACCTCCACTTTTTTCTATTCTGAGCTAATCTTCCATCCTTAACTATTTTTGGTAGTCTAATTAGTCTAATCTACTCCTCTTAACTCCTGTTTCTGCTTGTAATATGTCCCTAACTAGCTATTCATGCATGAAATATTAATAAATTTCGTTCAATATTCGTTTAAATAATCTTTTGTTCGAATGCTGAAGAAACAAAAAATGCAAACAGAGTGGGGTCTATAATTATTCGATAACAATACGCCACTATATTCATCTTCAACACAATGTCGTTAGACCGAAGATTGATTGGACACGCACCTCCACTATCCCTATCCTGAGCCTATCTTTGCGTTTCCCGAAAACTAGAGCACCCTCGTTACTCCTACTTGTGTTTCTCAAAAGTGAGCAGAGAATTGAGTAGAGAAGTGAGCAACGCGAGTATCCCGAGGCAAAATTTTCCTATAGTCTTCACATTACCTACATTGAATCAGGATTACATTGCTTTTACATTAAAAGTGTAGCACAATTCCCATTTCAATAGTGGCAATGTAAACCTAAGACCATTCCTAAGTCAGGCAATGTAATAATGACAAAACTAATATCATAAATTTAAGGTAGGCAATGTGAATGAGATATTATAAAACAAAGCTAGGCAAGGTAAAAGAAATGCAATAGTTCAATACATTTTTCAAAATTATTGAATTATAACATTCTGTAAAAAAGATAGCTCCAAATAATAATTTTAAAGAATAAATATATATTTTTAAATCATCAGCAAATGCATGCAATATGAAGTAAAGATTCGCATGTGAAATTTTAAAAAATCAAACCTTCACATTACCAACATGCCACATAATTATTTGACATTGCCTGTGTTGCTTCAAATTATCAGTAGGTAATGTAATTATATTATAAAATTCGTAGCAATGTCTTTAATGGCAAATAAAGATTATAGCTATGTGGCTAATTCAAAAGTCCATAGAAAAAATTCGCCTCGGGATGAAGGTGAGTNATCGATAAATTTACGAATCACTTTTTAAATTTGAGATGCGAACAAACACATTCAAAATTAGGAGTTGGTTTTTTGGAAATTTATTAAACAATAGAACAACAAATTGTTTAATTAGATGTTCTAATTGCTGACCATTAAATTCCTGGCAACAGGCAAATCGATTTTGAAAATCTCGTAACACTTTAGTGAAGGTTTGTGGTTGGATTTGTTGTATTTCTGCTCTAATTTGTTCTTCAATTTTTCAAAATTTTTCGGTTTCTCGAAGTAAATTTAAGATTTCAGATAACCCAATAGATAAAAATTTAGCGAGTCAAGCCTGGAGACCTAACTGAATATTCGATATCGCCTCTTCTTCCGATTCGTCTATTTTGAAAAATATTGTTAAGGTAATCTTGCACTAATCGCGAATAGTTTGGAGGCGGGAGGGAGTGCTCCATCCTATTTAAGTCATACCGATATATAAATTTTTCATTGCAGGACGTACGTTTACACAAACCTTTTGCTTAGTAAGAATTCTCAACATTTCATACAACCTCAAATGTTTCGGTAAGTTTTTCAAAAATATTTATACGTATAACTATATAATCAAACTTATGAAATTATTGAAAACGTACGGCCGGCTTTCTGTGTCACCAATGATACAAAATTATTACAATATTAAAAACAAAATAGAGATTAAGTGTAACAAGAACTAGCGTGCCAAAATGTAAGGTAATTGTGCCAAAAATACCTAATCATGACTCTATTGTCTATTGTTTAGTATCTACCTACGAATAATTTAATTTTTGTAGTGTAAAATCTTTCCAATAAAATGTCTGCAGGTAATATGAAACATGATATGTAATACACAATTTTAGAAATAAAACACATGCCAAGATCTTCGATGAAACTTGTCAGATTTTATTTTCATACTATGCTCAGAATAAATTATAGGGTTGTTCCGAAAGTCATTTCGTTTTTTCCCGACAGAGGATTTAATTGTATTCTTTTGCACCCAACTTCACATTTAAGCCGTATAATTTTTATATGCTTTGAGAGCTCATATAGCAAGGCTTGTGTGTGAAAAATTCCAATTAATTCTACGCAGTAGTTTTTGGTTGGTGCCCTTTTAAATATGGAGAGCGATAAGCAGCATTTTCGACATATCTTACTGTTTTACTACAGAAAGGGTAAAAATGCTGTTCAAGCCAGAAAGAAATTGACTGATGTGTATGGAGAAGGTGTGTTGACAGTACGCCAGTGCCAGAACTGGTTCGCTAAATTTCGATCCGGCAATTTTGATGTCGAAGATGCACCACGTTCGGGAAGGCCGGTTGAAGCTGATAAAGACGCGATAAAGGCATTAGTTGATGTGAACCGGCGAATAACAACACGTGAGATCGGATTGAGGTTAAATTTATCAAATTCAACAGTTTATGACCACTTGAAAGGCCTGGGATTATCCTCGAAGCTCGATGTATGGGTTCCCCATGTTCTCACAGAGAGAAATCTGTGTCGCCGCATTGACGTCTGCGATTCGCTTCTCAAACGTCACGAAAATGATCCGTTTTTGAAGCGCATCATCACTGGGGACGAAAAATGGGTTGTATACAACAACGTCAAACGCAAGAGGTCATGGAGCAAAAAAGATGAACCGGCTCAAACCATTTCCAAAGCCGATATTCACCAAAAAAAGGTGATGCTGTCTGTTTGGTGGGATTTTAAAGGAATCGTTTTTTTTGAGCTTTTACCGGATAACACAACGATTAATTCGGAAGTCTACTGTCATCAGCTGGACAAACTGAATGATGCACTTCAACAGAAAAGGTCAGAACTAATCAACAGGAAAGGTGTAGTGTTTCACCAAGACAACGCGAGACCTCACACAAGTTTGGTCACTCGCCAAAAGCTTTTACAGCTTGAATGGGATACAATGCTACACCCACCATATTCTCCAGACCTGGCACCATCGGATTATTATTTGTTCCGGTCACTCCAAAATTTTTTAGACGGTAAAACCTTCACCTCAAATGAGGAGGTCAAAAACCTCCTCGATCAGTTTTTTGCCAGCAAAGACCAAAAATTTTATGAGCGTGGAATTATGCTACTACCAGAAAGATGGCAAAAGGTGTTGGACCAGAACGGTCAATATATAATTTAATAAAGTATTTGTTTATTATACGAAAACTGTCTTTCATTTCCACAAAAAAAAACGA